AAGTTCGAGATAATATACAATTTACTGCTATGTAGGTATTATGAGAGTATACCCATTCAAAAACGTATTCATACATTAACCGTAATTAAATTACCACTAATAATAATAAGACGAATATAATTAGTGGTATTTGGATTAACGCTCGCTTAACTTTTGAATTATAGACAACATTTTATTAAACATGTAGATACTTTTGCGGTTTTGGTTTCCAAGGTTTGCGTTGCTGGTAATGTGGCTAAAATGCTAAGCTCTATTACGACTGTATACTTAATACCAACCTTATTTCTAAGGATACCTGCCACGAAAAATCATAGATTTGATTCGTGATGGAATATTTGAAGTATAGATATAGGTACCTCGTTTCGAAGTACCCAAGTAAGTATTCGAAGAATTAACTTGGAGCACTCGAAATGTTTAAGGAAAAATTGAAATGTAGAGATCCGAAATCGCAATCATCATTATGAACAGAAATAATTTTAGTGAATGCTGCTTTTTAAGCAAAATTTTAGCCAAAAATGAGCATACCCTTGAAAGCTTTAACTGATACAAACTTTCTTAGAATGAAAGCAATAGATAGGCTAGTTTATTTCACACGCACTGAAACGAAAAATGTTTTTACGTTCAGTGCCTACTGGCAGTATTGTAAACGCGAAAAATGGGATACTATATTTTTTGGATGTGCTATATGACATGTACATCACGAAAAACCGAGTTACTCATTTCCGTCGGTCTGTCCGTCTGTCGGTCTGTGTCCTTGACCCGTCTATAACTTAGAAAGTATTTGTCTGATTTTGATGAAATTTTTACACAAGGTTACTACCATGACAGTGACGAAGAAGCGTTGTAGTTTTTACTGATCGGTCCAGTGGCGCCGGAGAAAAAAGCCAGAAACGGGAAAAATTTAAATCGTTCGAACTTTGTTTGGGTGTAGAGTGTATCGCAACTGTTGATGCTAGTGTTTTAGTACACTTCCAACCCCGATAATGCTACCCACGTATTAGACATTTGAGGTTTGTTCGGAAAATAGTATAAAAGTGGAATAATAATAACTGTATTTCGCAATTGTTCAGGTATTTCAATAAGGTCTCCTTCAAAGTACTCCCCCTGAGACAAGATGCACTTCTGCCAACGCCGTTTCCACTGTTGATACGATCGCTGAAAGTCTTCAATTGCGAGGCTCTTCATTTGCCGAGTCGTTTCTGCCTTGATGGCTTCCACATCCCCCCCGAATCACCATTTTGCATTTGGGGAACAGGAAGAAGTTGCAAGGGGCTAAATCGGGTGAATAAGGCGAGTGTTCTGTCCACCTGCCTCTTTATGCTAAATCCGGTCGAACTCGGGTCACACGAGGTCTGAGACGACGCAAAACTTCAATCTACAAATTTCCGTTCACTGTCTGGCCGGGAGGAACAAATTCCTGGTGAACAATGCCCCGGAAGTCAAAGAAAACAATCAATATTGTTTTCACGTTGGACCTTGATTTTTAGATTTTTTTGTTCTCGGTTCCCCTGCTTGCTTCCACTCCATGCTTTGAGATTTCAGCTCCACATCGAATTCGTAGAACCAAGACTCGTCTCCAGGATGTTATGCAATGTAATTGTTTGGACCTGTTTGACGGACTTGATACGTTGAATTTCTCTGTTGTTCATGTTCGTAACTAACTTTTTTCTGAGAGAGTCTAGCTTAAATATGCTCCTTTCATTCGTCCAACCAAAGATAGCCAAACACAGGCAGCCTTTTTGTGCCCTGGGACACCGAACGAAAGCCTGGAAACTATCCTCCATCCAGTACATAAGGTATATGGCGCTGTCTTATTTCGATAGGGTCTAACGTGTATTGAACATTTCTGAACTTACGACGGCCTTGTGTGGGACCTACTCGACGCCATTTTTTTAATCTCGTCTCCAATAATTGTATCTTCAAAGTAACACAAAATGTATCAGGAGCTGTTTCTTCGAAGATTCCTTTCTAACGACATTCAGTTTCGGCCCGGAACGTGTATCCCGTATATTTATAGAGTAATGGATGAAACCCAATAACAAATTTTAACCATCAGTATGTGAATCACTTGCATTTTCCTCCAGACCTATAAATATATTGCAAATTAGTCTACCACTTGGCACAGTGTAACAAAACAAATTATGAAATATTTTATATACATATATACCACCATTTTTAAGCAGGCTCATGAAGAATGGTCACTTGGTAAAATTATCAAAATCACTTAACAAAGCTGACCGTCGTAAAGTGCGGTAGGTGAGTGCGTTTTGGAAAACGTTCAAAATGTGACTAAGCCACCGCTATTGCAAAATTAGAATGCAGAATTTTTGCGGACGAGTATCAATTTCGCAACACGGTATTATTTCAGAACGGCAGCCTAGGATCCTAATTATGATTTATTTTAATTGTAAAATAGACCCGACTGTCGTCGGATTAAAGGACATATCCTTTTAGAACCAGGAAAAGCTTTTGACAATAGTCGAGTGGGCCGAGTACCCGATATAGAGTACTCGGTGCATCCCAAACAATAAACGATCTGCTATCAATTATTGCATTCCTAATAGAGATTCAATAAGTACCCGTGTTTGACGACAGAGGGCGTTCCTGAGGGAAGCTAATGTCATCATCGTTTGCTGCCATCTATCAGACGACGACACAACAAATTTTAGACTAATTGATAGGTTAGTTTGGATTTGGCAGCCATTCGAGTAACACGCGATTTTCGCTAAGATGGAAAAAGAGCAGTATCGTTCGGTAATTCGCTTTTTGTTTTTGGATGGGAAAAAAATACGAGGAGATAAAAGCAAAGTTGGATGCTGTTTATGGGGGCACGTTGCCATCTATGACCACAGTTAGACATTGGTTCAACAAATTTAAACGTGGGCGAACATCCATTTTTGATGAGGATCGACCAGGATGCCCGGCAGACGTGGTTACCTAGGAAATCATTCAAAAAGTCCACGACATGATTCTCGCTGATCGACGAACGAAAGTGCGCGGAGTTGCAGAGGCCATAGGTGTGTTGACCGAAACGGCAATCAATATTTTACTTGATAAGTTGGCTATGAGAGAATTGTCGGCTCAATGGGTGCCGCGGTTGCTCACGGTAGACAACAAGCGGATGCGGCTGTTCACTTAGAAGCAGTGTTTGGAGCAATTTAAGCGAAATCAGAAGGAGTTGTTGCGTCACGTTTTCACCGTCGATGAAACCTGAATTCACATCTGAAACTAAGCAACAATCAAAACAAAGGATTTCTCCCGGTGAATCTGCTCCAAAGAAGGCGAAGACGGTCCAATCGGCCGGAAAGGTCATGGCGATGATTTTTTGGGATGCGAACAGCGTCATCCTCGTGGGTTTTTGAGAAAAAGGAAGAATGCTCACTGGATAATACTATGGTGAGTTATTGGACCGCTTCGGCAAACAATTGAAGGAGACACGGCCACATTTGACGAAAAAGAAGGTGCTGTTTCACCACGATAACGCACCAGCACATTCATCCGGAGTTGTCGCCGCCAAACTGCATGAATTCCGTCATGAAGCGCTGCCGCATCCCGTATTCATCCGATCTGACCCCTGCGACTTTTTCTTGTTCCCAGACATGAAGAAATGGCTCGCGGTGAAAAACTTAGCTCAAACGAGGAAGTCATCGCCGAGACAGAGGCGTATTTTGGAGAGTTCGACAAATCCTATTTTTTGGGGATTAAAAAAAATGGCAGGAACGTGTGTATTTTTAAAAGGGGATTATGTTGAAAAATGAAATGAAATTTTTTGGAAAAAATGCTGTCTTCATTTCTAACACGAGTACTTATTGAACTGCCCTCGTACGTTGGGAATATCAGTATGTATATGCTGTTACTTCATGATAAGCTGTAATTATAAATGCGCATTTTTGAACCCGATTTTTGTATAAAACTTCGTATAAACATGTATTTTATGAAGTTTGGTTTTCAAGATACAGGGCGTCAAAGTTTGAAAAGGAGTCTACCTATTGATAAAAAAAACAGCAAACTGTCATGGAAAGTCAAAAATGTGTTCATAACAACAGAACAACGTTTCCTAGCAAGATCAAAGTTGATTTGATTTTATTTTAACAATTTCTCGACATGTAATGAAGTTGTTTTTATTTTTTTCCTGGAAAACGGGGTTGGATACAAAGAGATACAAAATTTGTGCTTAAGCTGCTGAATCTGGGAAAAAATGTGTATATACTTTGCTGTAAGGTAGTGGCGTACATTTTTTTGTCAATATTACCCGTAGGACTGCCTACCGAGAAACTACTGGAATTTACAATCATCTTCTAGCTAGTACTAACTTAGCGTCTTTTTGCAGTTAATGATACTGCTAAAATTCGACAAAATCAGCACAAGGATCTTTGAGATATTAATTTAAAACCATTTTTCTTTTTAGACTTTGACACCCTGTATCTTGAAAACTAGACTTTATAGGACACATGTTTATATTAACTTTTTTACTTGAATCTGGTTCTAGGATGTGCCTTTGTGATTAATTTTAACATCCTGTATCAGCGTTGGGATAATGTTTGATTGATAATGTTCTGTGATTGCCCCAACAGAAAAAATGTCTTGCTTCAGATCATTAATCTGCGGACTCATTGAATAGACTTGAACTTTGCGGAATCCCTAAAAAAAATAGAGGTGGGTCAGATTCTATGATCTCGAAAGCTAGTGAATCATCAGGAAAATGTCTCTGTGACAATACCAAATAAATATCCTCGCCATACGTATCCAGGTGGGGTCATGAAAAGTTGATATTTGCACAATTCCAATGCGTTGTTCCTACGGAAAACGATCCATACCAAAATTCCCAGTATTTAGATGATATGCGCAATATAAAATATCTAAGTTGAAAAATGTCTTTAAATTCGATAAATAAACTCAACTCGACTAAAATGAGTTTTGAGAGAAATGCCGATGCATGCTTGACATAGGAATATATCGGGAAGCCTTACTATAATAATAACAACAGATTAATCGATCATGTAATTTATTTAAAATATGTACATGCTATTATTACATTGTGTCTTTCAGCTATTCGTTAACGGCTTTTTCAATACTCATTGATGCTACGTTTCCTGAAAGCAGATAATATTTTATTGAAAAAAATATATTTTCTCCATTTTTTGTTTTTTAGGTCGAAAAGCATAAAATTCAGTAAACTAAAATGACAATTAAGAATAACCGAGAGGTTATAGATTTGGTTAAGGTTCCAGGACCTGAATATAAATAATATTTGACTGTCCTCCAAATAAAGCACACATCCATATGTAGGATAAATATTTCCTAAGGTGTCGGTGGCCTTTTTTAAAGTACATCAAAAATTACAATAACTTAGAGAACAAGAACAACATCCTTATAGTTGGGGAGATCATTAAGATTGGTTATCTGAACAGAAAAAGTAATCTCGTTACTAAAGCTATCTTCGCAGGTTAGCTCCAAATGTGCTAAACGTATTTGAAATTCGCTCATTGAAAAAACTCATTTAAATCATCTGCGGTAAGCCAATATGATCTGATTTTAATCCCGGATGCCAATAGAACCTGATCATACGATTCATATGAACCTGTCAATCTGATATCTGATAGGGGACTAACCTCTATGGTAGAAGTACGGTCACACTCTAAGAATATGACGTAAAAAAACTTAATTGAACTTGAAAGTGCAGCTATTTCGTAAAGAAGTGAAAACATTCAAAATTTCGAAATAAAAAATTTGGAAAATATCCCATTACCTGTTTTTGGAAGTTTGTGCACTACGACATGATCGAAAGAGTAAGTTGTTTTCTTATTTCCTTTAATTTTTTCGAAACGGAACTTGTTCTTATATTGCAGTTTCAATAGACAGAAGGCATCTTTATCCTGGTAATCGAAACTCACTCCATCATCTGAATAGAGTAATCCTGTAGCAGTTCCATGCTAAAAAAATAAGATACATTCAGAATCCATCTGCCAGGAAATGTAGATCATATACAAATTGAGGAAATAAGATGTCTCTAGGTGCTAATGCAAAACTGTTACACTTTTGTTTGCTTTCAAGTCAGTGCTATTTCTGTAGTATTGAAGTAAGCTTTGTTACTGAGATGCTCCACGGGAGTAGTCCATGGAGGCCAAATCTGACGATCGCGGTGGTCATAAAATATCGCCAAGGCGAATTTTCACTCCTCCAACAATGAGAGTCCATACAATGTCACTGGCAAATGATGCCCAATTATTTATAGAGAATCATTCTGCATACAGCTTAGAATCGTAGTTTTGGCGTGATGGCTTACTTGCAAGGGTCACCATGGATCAACTTTGTAAGCTGTCTCCGCAAATGGCACTGTGAACATCAGATTTGATCATCATCTACTTTTTTCAATGGAGATAACTCAGGGACAAAACTCAAATATACCAGAAATATCTGTAACCTGAAAGAAAATATCCGCGGCGAAGGCATTGAACTTGCTATACTTCAACGCGTTATGCAGAATTGAATGTTCCCCGAGTCCCTGCCACTCTAAACCCTAAATGGCGTAATTTTTAAAGAATTGTTAATCGATTTGGAAATATAAAATTATCTAAGCGGTACATGACATCCCAGACTGAAAGCACTATAAACTTGTGGCTTCAGCCATTCTTATAAAAAAACCTATTCATAATAAAATAATGCTACTCACTGGATCCAAGTTGACGTGTACGGTAAGGTGGTCACTCATGAGTCCTTTAGTAGAGGTTCTTTTATTATCCGATACTGCTACGATACTTCCTGCCCTGTAGAAGTATAGGGACTGCAACATCAAGAAAATGTATTGAAATACGAATTTATACGAGGATCATTTTTAAAGTACATGAGCCTACAGCTTCTATTCGGCATTGTTTGTCAGAGCGGTCCGTAGGACTTATGGTCTTGGTTAAAGTCTTGTAGGTCGACCTACTGGTCTATCAGGTCTGGTTATACCTTATACCAGACTCAGTGAAAAAGAAAAAGGCGAGGGGGAAAGTAAAAGAGGAAGAAGGAGTTCAAAAGCAGAAGGTGCATCGGTTGGAGGACTGTTACCTAGGATTGTGAAATTTTAAACAACGCTAGAATTTTTTTTAGATTTGTTCACTGTTATTGATTGTCAATGGCAACTATATGCGATCCATTTTGAAGAAGTGGCCCTACCGTCTCTAGATCCACGTCGAACGTTTCCACGGTTCCACCTCTGTGTACGGTCCAGTTGCCTTTAGGTTGATCAGCTCTATACCAATAAGTATTTTTGTCGCCAGGGAAATGAACTGTTTTGGTCCTACCACCTTGTTCCATCACTGGTGCTGCCAAGATATCTGAGCCTAAAAATTAAATTCAAAATTAAAATCAATTAAAAAAGCATATCTATTTTTAAGCATCTTCTAACGAATATGTGTAATTCGACGAAATTTTGCGACCATAGTAATCAGTTGGAACTTCATATACGAGGGTTGAGCTCAGCAGCCGCCTCTTATGGAGATTCTCATTGTTGATCCCGTCCTTTGCGAGATTTGTTCCGTAATTCGATTTTTGCAGCTGGACCTCTTTCAGAGCCTTATCTCTGGATCAATCCTCATACAGTTTGAGCTCGTTTAAAATAAGGTTTTTTCTCAAAAAATGCCTCAATCAATACCAAACAAGAGTACATTTCAAAAATATCGTTTCAGGTCTATTGTTACAAAATGTGGTAAAAGATCAGTTAAAGAACGTCAATAGCGATCAAAGTGGGCTAAATATTTTCTATGGATACCTTGTGAGACTTTATGCGGTGTCTGTTACTGGTTTATTTAAAGCAAATCGGTTTCCACTCAGGTCCTTTAGGGGCCTGTATCTTTGTAAGGGAGCCCTGTAGGACATCTTTTATAGAAATTGCTACCTTATTAGGGAACATCCTGCATAGTTTGTGTGATAATTATGGGTTAGTGTCGATCCGTTAAATTACCTAACAAAATGTGGTCATCGATGTCGACCATCTCTGGATATTCATAAAACAGAGGCCTTACTACAGGGTCACCACTGGTGACATGCAGGTAGAAGAGAGTGTAGAAAACGGGTAGATGTCTATAACGTGTCTTGAGTGCATTTCTGACAACGACTTGGGCGTCTTCAGGCAACACATATGGTTCGCGCCTTTCAGTATTATCATTTGCATGTCCTCTGTAGAATGGTAACCACACTCCAGCCTGAAAATAGACAAATCATCTTTTCAATATACAGGGTGAGTATTTAGTGCGAGCTCGGTCGATAACTCCGATAAAAAAAATCCATTCCGTGTAGCCGGCCTAACCAACTTATTTACGATTCTATATTTTCTCCTTGTCTACTTTCTTTTTCAGTTGTTTTGATAGTTGATCACGAACCCAAAATCAATTATTTTTTAGAATGTTCATGAGAAACACCTTGAACATTTTCACATTCTACGATTCCCCTTTTCACAAGCTTTTTTCTGGGATGCGATTTCTGAAGGTTTGCATGACTGGTTTTTAAATTACTAAACTTAGAGACACCTTCTTTTCGACTTGATTGCATAATGTCGGGTACAATTAATGTATGGTGGAAATACACCGATTCTGATGGTCTACACTTATCAGCTAAATGCTATTTTTTGTTTTGAAGTGTGATGTAATATTTAATATTTCTTTATTTACCTGATATCTGATTTCCTGATCACTCAAACATCAGTCGTACAACCCCCAAAAACTATATATAAAAAAATATATGAAAAGGAGAATCAAAGGAAGTGAAGACATACAGGGTATTCCATTTGAAAATTTTGAGAAATCATTCGTTTTGCGTTCTTGTCCACCCTGTATAAACAAGCAAAGAAACCGATAGAGAGAAAATATGTGATCCTAAGATTCTGCTGCAGAAATGGAGGAGAGGCTAATTTTCAAAGCTAAGCGTTTTTTTTTAATATATTGTCTTTAATCCCAACAATTTGAAAATAAAATCCTTTAGTATGTTATATCAAATTACTTCATTTGAAAACACCTACCCAAATATGCAATAAAAATGTAGGTTTTCTATTCAAAAGAAACATATGTTGGAGATAAAGCTATTTTCTAAGTCTAATAAGAATAATAATTGTCTTTATTGGATTAACCAAAAGGCGGAATTCTCATTGCATGCTCTTCCAGTCAACCTTACAGAGATACAAAAAAAACTTGAAAAAAAATAATGAGAATAGAAGGTATTACTTGAACTTTCAGTCAAATCAATTGAGGAATAAATATTGAATATACCTATATAAGGGATGACATTTCATTCTTGGTACTTTTCCAATATAAAAGATTTAATTGAACTTAAATGGTAAATCTCTAATTCCCAGAAACTCCTGAGGGATGTTGTTGTTTTATGGGTAGGAGGAGTGATGAGGACTTTGGATCTAATATTAATATTGTGAACTTCTGTTCGAATTTATTTTTTTTTTTGTAAGGTAGGTAGGTCTCTTTTGTGTAATAATTTTATTATATCAGGTAATCGCAGAATTTTCTAATCTGTTTCTCATATTGATCTATCTAATTTCTAAACACTTTTCCGAAATGTGATCATATTTTCTTATGCCCTGAATGTCCCTTACGTGTATTATTTGCTGAAAATGCATGACTAGAATGATGAAAGAATGACGGACAAACATGAAACATGAAAAGAGCCCTGAAACGGATTATGCTTTATTTCCACAATCAGTTTACGGTCATTAATTATTCTAGCTATTATTTTACCTGGTACCATCGCTGCAACAACTCTGATTCCGGGTTATTAAAGAATCCTCCTATATCGGCTCCACAGAAAACGTGTCCCACAAGGCCTGAGATGATGCATTCTGAGTAAGTTACTTGCATATGAGGCCAGTCAGCAGCGTTATCTCCGGTCCACATTGCAGCATACCTTTGGGAGCCAGCAAAATGGGATCTTGTAAGAATGAAGGGTCTCTTGAGATGCTTGTCTCTGGTCATTAGTGCTTGGTGGGTTGCTTTAGTCTAGAATTGTAGGTGCTTGTCATTCACTAGTGACGATAACGTGTGGCAATACTTATTTAAGTTTCTAGGGCGTACTTGTGTTAAAATTTCCTCAAAATCTGAGCGGTACTTTCTAAGTTATGAAGGGGTCAAGGATTATCGGACAGACAGACAAACCAACGAAAATGAGTGAAATTTTTCGCGATCATATGTAGCATCCAAAAACAATTTCTCCATATAGATAGTTTTGGCTATCACAATACTTCCCTCTCTTATACATGAGAAGTATATCGTACTTACCTGCAAAAAGCCATACATATTATGGATATCCCTATGTTTAACATTTCCGTAGTGTATAATATCATTCGGGAATGTGCTTTCATCGCCCCCAAATACAGCAGGTTCGTTCATATCGTTCCAAATACCAGCCAATGTTTCAGTACTACCGTTGAATTTATCGAACTGGAACCAACTGGCATAGTAGTCTCTGGCTTTGGGGTTCAAGAAATCTATGTAGCTTGATGTGCCGGGCCAACAATTAGCTAGAAGCATATTTTTATCTTTACCACAGTGAATCTTCCAAAAAATCACTTTTTAACCTTCCAGATCCGAATGTATCTTTTCTTGTAATTTAGATCTCGTAAAGGAAGGACATGACTTTAACGTCTTTATTGCATTTCAAACTTTCAATGCGTTTTTCTCGAAACACAGCATAAATCGAGGAATCGACAATATTAACCGGTGATCTTTTGTTTTTCTTTTTTACCTCTTCTCTCGAGTCTGGAGCGGGTCGTTTCGTCATCGGCGCGGTTTTTCCGTTTTGTTTTCCGGGTTCGCGAAAGTCTTTAACGGAAAAGGATACCGTTTCGGAAACTAGAAACAACTCGGCGCTTTACGAGCAACTACGAACCGTTGAGGTACGAGGACGAAGAACGTTTTAAAACGGCTGTTAAAGTCGAAAAAGATTTTCTTACTGTTCGATATTCAATTTCTATCTATATAGATACAGGAGCTACGAACCTAACGATTCTTTCGTGAGAAACCAAAACATCGGACATTAAGATAGCGTCTTTTTTATTTCTTTATTCCTTTTCGTTCAAAAGTTTCGATTTTTTAAAGTTCCTCGACCATATGCTACTTTTCGATATCATGACAAAGTCTCCTTGTTTCCGACTTTGTCCTGGCCTATTGCTACTATATATATATGCAAGATGAGAATTATATAGCGTTTGAAAAATAAATATTTTGAGCATAGGAAACGAGTTGGAATTCCCGTCAGATTTCGAAAAAGCAAACTTTTAGGGCTTGAAAGGTACTGATGACAGCCATGTTTCGGCGTACTTTGTCTTCTCCGATACAGACCTCCGTTACGAATCGATATAGCTAGGATTTTTTTTTCTCAAAACGAAAGACCGGTCTTTTGATTAACCCGATGTACAACACATCGCATTTTTTTAATTCCAAGTTATGCAGTTATATTTTGAGTTTGAAAGATGTTACCTCCCCTTTTCTGATTTTATCCCGAGGTTCTGGATTCCTGTTAGGCATGGTATCGTAGTTATGATCATATTAACAAATTCAAGCGCGTGATAGCGGAACGATCAAATCGTGCTATTTTCGGCTCTATGACGATCGCTTCATCCAATAACATTGTCCTTTTTTGGGCATGGAAGTAAACAGTTTTGAATAGAATTTCTATATTCTAAATCTACCGGGCTATAACCAAGCACGATTCGCTTGTTGTCATTATTGTTTTCTTTCGAATATTATTATCTCTAAAATAATATTTACATGCTTAGATTTTTTGGCGAAAATTGAACGACCTGATTCAAATACTTGCCAACCACACAAAAATCAAATTCTTAAAATTGGTCAATGTCAGTTCCGAGTGATTGGTCTTATTCCTGCAGAGCCAAAATCGCGGTCAACTATGCAGTGTCGCTTGAGATTTATCTAGAAAAACCTGTTTTCAATGACGTCCTTTAGGGGCATACATCCCCCTAGGGCAGTGCCATAGGACGTTTCTTATATTGATAACTTTTAGAGTGTTAAATGCTAATGACTCGGATCATTCTGAATAAGAAAGTTCCTTAGTAGCTTTTCTCTAAATTTAGTCGCTTTTGGCAGCTCTTACCTTGATAATCGTCACCATTTTCCGTCTTTGCAAAATATTTTCCTTTTGCGCCTACGTATACTGGATAATTCTCGTCTACCATGTAGTGAGGGTCAATGATTGTGACCAAGCGTTTGTCCATTGCAGCCAAGTATTCTTGCATGCCAACTGGGTCTGGGAATGTTTCTGGATTCCAGGTGAAGTATCTTTTGCCATCAGTGTAGTCAATGTCTAGCCAAATGGCGTCCATCGGAAAATCATTTTGCTCCATTGTAGAGACTACTTCCTTTACCTCATCTTGAGTCTTGTATGAGTATCGGCATTGATGGTAGCCAAGTGTCCATAGCTAAAAAAAAATGGTGTCAAGTAGATTCGCTCTGCATTCTGCATCAAGTTGAGTTTTCAAGAAAAGCTAAAACTTTTTAAAGAGAGAAAGTGCAATACTCACATACAGTTTTAGAGCTGTACTATTATTTGTTAACAAGTTACGAAGGATTCTTTGACAAAAAGGGAACTGCTAACATTGTTTTTCATTCAGTTATTTGTTAGCTGCTTTCGCCGCTTTCATTTTACCCTTACCTGTGGCATATGCATTTTTCCAGTCAGTTCGACAAATTGTCTAACAACCTGCTGGAATGTAGGCCCGTAGAAGACAAAGAGGTCCAGAGATCCTCCTTCTACCAGAAAATGAGCTGAAGCGTTAGTTTTCTCGTTGTAACCTATATCAATGAATTGCTGAGCTGCGTTGAGAAGAAATGCCCCAGTAGTCCTTTTTTTACTGAAAAATAATAATAATATTAATAAATGGTCTTTGTTTGTATTAGTAAATACGTCTATAATGTGCTTTTCACGGTTTTTGGCGATTACGCCATATGAAATAAGTAAATTTTACCATTTCTGACGATATAAGCTCTTATTTTGAAGGTATTTTCATCCCCAACTTACAACAAATAATTCATCACTATTTGAATATACGTTAAAAACTTTGACGTATAATAAAAAAGTTAAAGAACTTAATTCCGTTGTAAAACAACTATTACAATTTTTGATTAAACATAAAAAAATTGATTTTGTACACTTACGAATGCCCATATACAATTGGGACCGCTCCATACAAGGAATTAGTAGAATAGGCTGGGTATTGTCCAGCATCTACATTTTTCAGTCGGTAAGGATCAGAATTGGTTGTTTCCCGCAACGTCATTTGGTCAGCATGGTGATGAAGTCCATATAAGTTTGTAGAACCCTGGAAGTCTACGCTGAAGCTGAAACCTTCGCCCTCTTCAGCCTGAAAAAGTAATAATTAGCTGTAGATTTTTCCAAAATTGAAAATAATATTTAGCGTCATTTTGCTTTACACCTTGGAGCCTATATAGTGGCACTGTGACACTTATGAGAAAATAGTTAGCTACGGACCTGTATAACCGGAACCCTCATCCTCTCCCCCGCGCCCTGCAACCCCATAACACCCAATTTGTAACCCCAGAAGAATTTTTACAAATATAATCAGGATCCTCTGAAACTTCAAAGAACAAAGCTTCAGCATTGCTCTTTTAGTTTTTGTCCTTTTTCTCCACCGCCGCTGGACCGATTTTCAAAAACCACAAAGCTTTTTCGTTCTTGGCGTGGTAGTAACATTGCGTAAAATCCGAGCGGTACTTCTTAAGTTATATGCGTTAATGCGATTAGCGGACATATCGTTTCTCAGACGGAAATGAGTGACATGGTATTTTATGTCATATAACGTACACAAAAGCATACCTATCTCCTTTTCGCGATTACAATACTTTCCCGCCAGACGACGTGGAAAGTAAAAGTACTGGGGATTGCATTATATTTTCCTCTTTTTTTAATAAAAAAAAACACGAAGTCCGAACTGGGGGTCGATGGAAGTATATGAAAGTTCTACATCAACGTTATAGTTTTTCGTATTTTGGCGGAGGTGCATCCCACATACACAATGCACTTTCACCATTTTATGTTTATACTGAAAATGTCTCAAACTCCTGAGGGATGCTACAAAGAGAAAGAACAAAAAAAGTATGAAGCAGAAATCCATTACACAGATCATTCGCAGATAAACGTAGCTGAAAACGACGAACAATATAAGGGTACTATCATATACAAAAACCACAAGATCATCATTTTCATCGATCTGAAAGGTTTCCTTTAAAATGTGACCATTGACTCCCCAACTCTGACTTCAGTTACATGTTTTACGAAAAATATGCATGCGAAAAATAACCTTCAGAACGCACCACTTTTTTACAAACGTTTTATTAAGCACCTGTTTCGTATTATTTAAGTATATATGAATGTATGTTTGATAATGAATTTTAAACCCTTAACAAATTGAGCTAGAATTTTGTACATACGTTTGGTTTGCGTGAAAATACTAAATCAATTGACGGCCGCCAGTTTGAATCCAGTATGGTGGATGCTACAAAATGGCGGTCCAGCATTTCCGTAGTAATCCATATGATAGGCGTATCAAATGAAAGGGCTTGCTGATAGAAAGCAAATAACGCCATTCTAAATTTTATATCGCTTCAAATTATCGATTTAACTAACGAGGTTTTGTAATACAAAAGTTTCATGTAGTCCTATTAATAAAATATATGAAATTTGTATAGAAATTACCAGTTATAGGACATCATAAATACTAAAAAATAATAAACAAATTAGATGAAAATACATTTTCAAAATCAACCTTTTATTTAGCTGTTCATAAAAGGGATTAAAAATTAAAAAAAAACGTCTGATTGGAAGTATAATAATAAAGCTCCTTAATCTCAAGTTTTCAAATAATAGCGTGTTACTTTTGGACAGCAGGAGGGAAATCGGGTGGGGCTTTTATTAGAAAACTTGAGATAAATGAGCGTCATTATCGTTTAAACATTTCCTATCGAACATTTTTTACATTTCCAGTTCATTTTATGAACAGCTGATTATAAGCTTGTTTCTAAAAATAAAATTCTTTTATTTTATTCTTTATTTTGGAAACCTGTGTTACTTATGTCTTGCCTTTACGGTCAAAAATGAAAAATACTGACAGAGGACAGTAAATACTGTTGTATATATATATATAATTACAGTATATACACGTTATAGTGGACAAAACCTTCTGAAGTGAAAATTATCAAAATGAAAGGGAGAAGCAATTTTAGGTATAGTTTTGTTCTTAGATTGTGATAAGGAAAAGTTGTTCACAATAAAAATACTTACCTTTTCAAATAACAACTTTGAGGAGTCAAAGACAGTGTGAGTCTGTTTCTTGTTTGCAAACTCCAAAGAAAATGGGGCCCCCCTGTTTATAATGATGCTAGCATCCCGTAGCGTAAGTACTAACTTATGCTTCGACATCTGGGCGATGTTATACCTGGCAATAAATAATTAAGAGGGTAACATTTTTATAGCGATACAGCCACTGTAACAATATTATTTTTCACAGAAATATCTTTTCAAGCAATGGACAAATGTACAAGCATCGAAAATAGAAAGTAACTTTCAATGAATAATGGTATGGCACACTCTTAAGCTGGTGTAGTCAGTTATGTGTTTTTGTTTTTTTAGTTCAGACTTTCCCACTAACGTCCAGACTTTTCGATCTTACTCTTATCAGTTTACTAAATTTTCTTTTTTCTTCTAGATAAGTGTCAACACATATCAGCATAATACAAATAAGTTTCTTCATTAAATGAATGTTGTGATGGAGTTTACATTAGTACCTGGATTGAGCCCCCTATAAAAATGTTCAACTTGGAATTCCCCACGGTTATTTTTATGCTAAAATATAATATAAAAAACGAATACGAGGTGGAGGGGTTTTATGTGTGCCAAACTTTATTCTGTAATGGAGAAAAGGCTCTTATTTTTTATTTCGTTCAGATCCAAGGAAGTACTTTTATATAGTAGTATTACAAGTGGCTGAATAATTAAACAACTCCATGTATTGCACATGAAAGCAAATAAACAACAGCTGTGGCCTTGTTGTGATATATTGACTCGATTTTCGATGGTTTATTCCGTATCTGATAATGTGATGTATTATGATGTAGTGCTGTAATCTGGTGATATCTTGAAGTGAAATCATTATTAGCGGCTTTGACCGGAACTTTATCTGATACCTTTGTGAGTGCCCTGACACATTGAAAAAATACTTTTCCAGGTTTGAGTGTTTGTCTCTTTTTTGTTATAATAATAGTATATTTCCAGAAAAAGAATCGAATGCCTATTTCAAATTCGATCCAATCATTGGAATCTCGGAAACGGTAAGAAATAACTTAGAACTTTGCCTCCATTTAAGCAACTTCGTATCTCTTGCAGTTTCCGAGATGCCACTGGTGAGGGTCGAATTTGAAACCCCCGGTATAGTCTTACTTTCTTCTTTGAAAAAAGCCCAAGCTCTGACGTAAAAAAATCTATCAAAAAACACGGATTTAAGTGATTTCTTATCTTTCAGATGCTTTTTTAAATAAATACAATTTTCTCTAAACGGAGAATAATACTTACTTGACAGCATGTGGTTCTTTCTCTAAGACGTCTTTTATCTCATATCGTTTTCTGTTGTGTTCATTTATTTTCAACCTGGCTGTATGATTGCTCAAAAAAGAGAGTTGTAGCTCTAGTTTCAGGCCATTCTCGTTGCTTAGTGGAACTGTTAATACATTTTTCTTTTTATCTTCATGAATCTTATCAATATGAGCTGTTAAGGCTTCGCCCTGTTCTAGGTCATGGCGCCTGAACTTTCTGCAATCGGAAAAAATATAGGTATAGAAGATTTTGATATTTTGAAAAAATGTTGTGAATTTTAAAAAACATTTGGAAATTTCGAAATTGAAACAACTTGGACATAAAGTTAGATTTATCGTTAAATATGTAAAAACGTATCAAAAATCGGAGCTCTTGATTATGAGTACTTTTGTTGTCGTTTTGCGACTAAAATTCAGAAAACAAATTATAGTTTAAAAAACTGAAAAAACACTCTTTAATGGCAAATCGAACTATAACTCCAATTTTGTAGATAGCAGCTAAATAAATAAGTTCTCCAACATTCAATAAGAAGCACCCTACACTTTTTTACTATAATTGGAATTTTTGCTAATATCCTAATTTTTGTATTGATCTTATTCCAAGTTAATTATTCATACTTGGACTTTCTATTGCAGTAACAAATATTCTCCTAAACTTAAAAATTACTTTCTACTTTTTAGTGATTTGCTATTAGAACATGTTTTTTTCTTAGTTTTTTTAAACTATAATTTATTGGACGGATTTTATACTCAAAAAATATTACAACGTGTTTCTGAAACACATTGTAGAAATTAACTCTGTTTTTCGGCAATGAAGTGCTTGGAGGAGCAATATATTCCAAACCTGAGCAAGTGATCGACCTATTTTTTTGCCATAGAAATATTGCTTATTTTTTATTTTCATTGAAAGTACGACTGTTGGGTACTTACGAACAAAATGAATAGTCATTGCAATTTCTCCATGCGCCACATGTTGTGAACCCCACGAGGAGGACAACGGCCAGTAATCTGGAAAGTAAAAAAAAAAGTAAAATTTATTTTCCAAAAAGAACGATAATATTGTAGAATGAATATGAAAGCGTACACAGTTTAGAATGGTAAACAAGCAGGAAACCCACAGACGCCAGTTTGTGCTTCATCTTAAATCCTCAAAAAAGAGCAATTCAAAAACTTCTTTATAACTCTTGGTCCAAAATTCATTGTTGGGGGGGACTACAATAGCAAGCATACCACATGGGGCTCACGGCTCACAACAACAAAAGGAAGAGAACTGATACAAGTCATATTAGAAAACAACTACACGTTTATTTCACCAGAAGCACCTACTTATTGGCCTACAGATGTAAACAGACTTCCCGATCTTTTAGACTTCCTCATAACTAGTGGCATATCTTCATCTTATACAGAAATATCTTCAAGCTTTGACCTCACATCAGACCACAGCCCAATTACCCTAACTCTGAGCACAGCAGTGATATGTAAGAAACCCACTCCAAGATTGCATAATAACAAAACAAATTGGGATAGATACAAACAGATAATTGTAGATAACATCAATCTCTCAACCAGATTGAAGCAGCCAAATGATATAGAGGTCGACTGCAATAGCTTTATTTGTACACTCCAACAGGCAGCGAAAGAATCCACACCATTCATAGACTGTGCTTACAAAACAAAAAATATCCCCGTTGAAATAAAGAAGCTAGTTTCAGAGAAGAGAAGAGCACGATCAATCTGGCAACGTACCCGCACGCCAGCCAGCCGAACAAAGTACAACACCTGCTGTAATAAGCTAAAGTCTAAACTCCAAGAAATGAGGAATGCCTCCGTAGAAGGCTACGTATCTCAACTCACGAGACAAGATAACTCCATATGGAAGCCCATAAAAGCTAAGAGAAAACCTCATTCTACATCACCCCCAACCCGTAGCCAAACAGTAGCTAATGGCCAATGGGCAAAAAGCGATAAAGAAAAAGCTGACGCATTTGCACAACACCTTGCCGAAGTGTTCATCCCACACAATGACGATCCAGAAGCCAATCTCATCTATCTTTTAACTCAAGAACGGTTAGCACCTTTCTCTCCGAAGGAATTACAAAATGAAATAAACAGGCTAAATATAAAAAAAGCTCCCGGAGCTGACATGATCACAGGCAAAATGTTACAAGAACTTTCCAAGAAAGGCTTGATGAAATTGCTTTATATTTATAGACTACTGGCCCATGTCCTTCAAGAGTGCGCTAATAATTATGGTACCGGAACCAGGAAAAAATCTAATGGATATTAGTTCTTATCGCCCGATCAGCCTCTTGCCAGTAATTTCTAAGCTTTTGGAAAGACTTATCCTGAATAGAATAAATGGCCAACTGGATCGGCTAGCTTGGATCCCTAATCATCAGTTTGGCTTTAGGCCGGCTCACTCAACTGTGCATCAGTGTCACCGCCTTTCGGATATAATCGCCAAATCCTTCGAAAGAAAAGAATACTGTACGGCAGCCTTCCTAGATGTGAAGCAGGCATTTGATAAAGTGTGGCATCCAGGCTTGTTGCATAAAATAAAGAAAGTATTGCCAGCCAAGTACCTCAAGTTGCTACAATCCTACTTAAGTGACCGCTGCTACAAAGTTAAAGTAAACAGTGAAACTTCAAGCTACTACCCTATGAAATCAGGAGTCCCACAGGGCAGCATACTGGGTCCCTTACTATATGTCGTATATACAGCGGATATACCCACAACAACTGAAACAACAGTTGGCACATTTGCAGACGATACGGCGATTCTTGCAACTGATGAAGATCCCGACCACGCTTCAAGTAAACTACAGAGGCACCTAGACGATATAGGAAGTTGGCTGAACAAATGGAAGATCAAAGTCAACGAAACCAAATCCACGCACATCACCTTCACTTTCCGCAAAGGACAATGCCCAGCTGTTTCCTTGAATCAAGTCACCATACCTCAACATGCAAGTGTTAAATACCTGGGATTGCACATGGACGACAAAATAAACTGGAAGCAACATTGATCCAAGAAAAGAAAACAGATGGACTTGAAAAGTAAAGAGTTAAATTGGCTGATAGGACGCAAATCAAAACTAAGCATAGAAAACAAGTTACTGATATACAAAGCCATCATCAAGCCCATTTGGACTTACGGGATCGAACTCTGGGGCTGCGCTAGCAAGTCAAACCTTTCAATCATTCAACGAGCTCAATCAAAAATCCTTAGAAGCATTGCAGATGCGCCTTGGTATGTCTCAAATTAAACGCTCCATATGGATCTGAAAATCCCATTCATCAGGGAAGTCATCATGGAAAGAAGTTGTAAACACCATGCTAGGCTTAGCGACCATCCAAACCCACTTCTGCCATCGCTATTAGATCCCACTGAGACCAGGAGACTGAAAAGGAAATTGCCACTAGACTTGCAAGACTGAGGTGACATCGTTGGATGTCTGCTTCATCCCGTCATGAGGTACAACTACTTAAAAATTGTACCATCCAGCAAATTAGCTTATAGAATGTACATACACTCTGATCGCTAATAAAGTAGAGAAAAAAAAATCTTAAATGGAGCCAGGTAAAAATAAAGACGATCTTAGAAAAGTCTCCGGAAATACTCGGATTTACGAGACTTCCCAATGATGGGAGTAGAATTGAAACACTCGGTATATTCTTGAATATAGTCAGAATGTGCCAGTGTCTACGGCGTACAATCTATTTTCTTTTTTTTTTTTGAAAGGCTTTATAACACAAAATGAAAAAGTGGTGTCTGCTGAGGATCCCACTATATTTTGCCCATCTATTTTTTTCCGCTCAGTACGAATCATAGGTCAGGGCTGCTGAACATATATGAAAGTAATTTTTCGATTTTGATATTTTTGGTGGATATAGATCTGTTCAAATCAACTTCTTTCGTAACAGTGCATATGTGGTTAAAATTTGTCGGATAAGTTGTGAAGCTCCCTGTATAAAAGGGTTAAATTTTGATAATATTTGTCGTTTATCATATATCAGTCTAGATGCATTGGAAGCTAGTTAAATCAAGGAAAAGGAAAATTAGAAAAAAAAACAAGCAAATACTAGAGAGGTGAATCTGTTTAAGAAGAAACACATTGCAGATACAGATTAATTTTGAGGTATAATAGAAAATAATTTTGATTCAAGATTCAGAATGTAATTTTGTATGTATTAAATTTTGTACACAGTGACTCCAAATTTTGTTATTCTCGAGAATCAATATTCCCTGTGCAATTATGCAAAGTATTAAAAATATAACTTACCTGGCTGATATCATGTTGGCTGCTTATAAAAAAGCAGGAACGTTAATGACTTACCGAAAATAAAAATCGTTTATATAACTGCTTTCAA